AAGTAGCCGGAATTACAGGCATGTGCGACCACGCCCGGCTGATTTTTTGATTTATTGTAGAGATGAGGTCTCGCTGCCCAGGCGAGTCTCGAACCCCCGGGGTCAGGCAATCCACTCACCTTAGCCTCCCAAAGGCGCGGGATTACAGGCTGAGCCACCGAGCCTGGCTCATAGAACTTTTAAATGACATCGACCACTTAATTTTTAGACGCACAGACAATAGAAATTTGAGTCAAAAATCTTTTTGTGATCAGTGCATTAAGAATGCTTGGGAGCAATGTTTGTTTTTCTCCACTGAGAGAAACTAGGAAGTTTCTTTGCTGTTCAATCTAAGTCACTGGATTATTCATGATTCACTTTATGCTAAGGATGTAGACCTTTGGATTCTCAGTTTTTATGTCATAATCTCTAATTAGACTCGTCACTTTAGGTGAGCCATAAACTTTATTTTCAGTCTCCTGTACCATACAGATATATAAAAAGGGTGACCCAAGGACATCAGGGTTTTGAGGATATCCCCAAGGCTCAATCTGACACTAATGCCTAACTTATTTCCAGAAATTCTCATTCCAAACTTAAATATCAATCTTGGTACATTTCTTACTTTCTTAGCAACTTGTATTTCAAATGATTTCTAAAAATTGAAATACATAAACAAACCTGACAATCGAAAAAATAACTTTGGTATTATCGGTTTCTTCACTGATTTCTTAACTGAAACCATGGTTGAAAATTTCAATACCCTAGTTTCTACAACTCTGAACAACTAGACAGAAAATCATTAAGGAGACACTCGAGTTGAACTCTAGTGTCAATCACCTTGATCTAATATATGTATAAATACTCCACCCACCAGCAACAGAATGTATATTACTTTCAACCACACAGAACATTCTCCAGGATAGACAAAATTCTAGGCAAATTTTTAAATTAGAAAAAACTTTAACATGATTGAAAAAGCTCAAAAGTGTTTCTTAGCACAATAAAATTAAATTATATATAACAGAAAAAAGTGAAAATTTTATGAAAATTCCAAAATATTTACAAACTAAACAGCAAGTTGTAAACAAATAATAGGTCCAACAAAAAACCACAAGGAAACATAAAATATTTTGAACTAAATAAAAATGAACTCATAACATGTTGATATTTATGAAATATAGTTAATGAAGTTCTTAGGAATTCATAGCTTTTAAATGATAATTTTAGGAAAAAAAACATCTAGTAAACAACCAAAGCTTCTGCTTTAGAAAAAGAGAAATATAATAGGCTTAGTTATTCCCAAAGCAAGTAGTAGATGGAAAATCAGAGGAGAAATCAATGCTTTCAAAGCTGAAAAACAATCGAGAAATCAATAAAAGCAAAAGTTGGCCTTTTAAAAGCGTAAAGAAAATTGATGGACCTTTTGCTAGACTGACCAAGAAAAAAGAGACAAGGCACAAATTACCAAACTTGGAAATGAAAGAGATGCCACCACTACTGCTATTATAGAAATTAAAATAACTATTATAGAAACTATTATAGAAACTATTATAGAAACTATTATAGAAATTAAAATAAAAGTGAGTATTATGAACAAATTTATATCAGCAAATTAGACAATTAATATAAAATGGACAAATTTTTCAGAAGACATATATTATTGAAACTGACTCAAGAAGAAACAGAAAACAGATGAGAACCAAAGCCAGTAAAAAAATGAATTCACTATGCTGACAACTTTGGGCTTAAACAACTTGACCATGGATAGAAACCTCAATAAATGGTTACTGGGTATAAAAATAATGACTTGAAAGAAATAAAAAAATATTCAACTTGAAACATGAATGTTTAGAGATTAAAATTCAGCTAAGAAATTAATATAACTGCTCTAGAGCCAGTAAAATTCCTAGAATTCTAATAGAGACAAACAAACTCAAAGGCTCACTGAAATTCTATAGAAAATGTTAACAGTTGAAGATAAAATCACTACAAAATATGCTGAAACCATAGCATAAACAATTCAATATCAGGGATAGTTATCAGAGCAAGATATGATAGAACTGTTGTTCACTATTCAGTCCATTGGGATAGAAGGATTGTTTTTATCACACTGTTTCTTGGGTTGGATGTGTTACTTATTTTGGCCAGAGAATGTGAGAAGTTGAAAGTATGCCCCTTCCAAGCTGATGCCTTGAGCAGCATCCTATGTTTCTACTCACTCTTTTGTACTCTGGTCATTTGCCATGTGAAAACCGTGCCCATGGGAAACTGCTAGTCAAGGAGGATAGAGACACATGAAGCAGACCTGAACCCAACATACATCCTTGAGTCTAGGCTTTAGCAACTGCTGCCACCTTAGCCAACTCACAGACACAACAGTGAAGAAGAATATGCTTATTCTTATAAGCTACTGAGTTCCAAGGTGATTTTTTTAAAGCATTATTGTAGTATTAACTGAATAATTCATGAGACAAAACAATGCAAAACAAAACAAAATGAGAAGATTTAACATTCCATTAATCACAGAGACTTTCTTCCATAGAAGAGGCACTCTGGTGAGCACTTATACAGGACACAATTATCTTCATACTCTGTCCTTCTGAAGGTCATCTTCCAAACATTCTCCCAAAATTCCTTTTACCAATCTTACATTCATATATTTCCAAGTCCCTGACCACCCTGTCACCCTTTTGACAATCCATATGTACTTTAAGCCATCATTTCTTCTGCAAAGAATACTTAAAATGCTACCCATGGGAGTGATTTGCCTTCACCCTTTCAATTTGGAATTGGGATGCAGCAACTCTCCAAACTGTGTCAACATACCATTCAAGTTATTTAAATGTCCAGACTGTAAATTTTTTCCCCTCTTCCATTGGATGCTTGCGAGAATGCACCCATGGAGCCATAAATGTAGGTTGTGGGAAAAACAGGAAATCCATAGGAATAGGAACAGAGACAATAGGAACATCAGGAGAGTCTGGCTCACTAGTTTACATCCTCAAATGTTGCTTGGATTTTTTATTGTACTAGAGAACACAACCAATTTTATAATTTGAATCATATGGTATCCATTTCATGAAAGAAAACTTATTTCTAGTTATCTTTTTTGACAGGGAAAAGAAAAACGATTTACTAGATCATGATAATTGGCTACATATTGGTTGCCAAGGGTTGTCATTTTCAGGAAGGAGATGCAGTTAGCTTATAGTGACAAGACCGCTGCCTCCGTCCTCTCCATGATCTCACTGTGCTTTCTTTCTGCTCATTCTCATTGGTTGAACTCAACAGAAAGAAAGAATGCAAAAGATATCTTTAATGCAGTCCATTATGATTCAGCTTCTTGGGCCACAAAACAAAAGATAGAAGTGGGGATTAACCAGAAGATATCTAGACAGAAGTGAATTTTCTTAATTTTATTAGAGTATCAAAATTCATAACAAATATTATACTTCATGTTAAGGCTGTTAGGGAGATTCAGAGTTTTCCTGTCTTAAATGCTAGAGACTTTGAGAATCTAAAGACTATGAAATTATATTATTCTATACTTTGTAAACAAATTCATAAAATTTAAAGGTTATATCTTATGTATGTCAGTATAAAGGCAGATCCCTGAAAGAACATTACTTGTCAGATATACATTTCAAACATAAAGCTAAAAAAATACACAGTAATAATTAATTTAAATTTCAATACATATGTTGGCTACTTATATTGAAAAAAGATGAACATAAATCCCAGTTTCTTAAGGTAGATCTTTAATCATATTGATCAAAATGCAACCCAAACAATATGTCATCACCCATGACAAGAATTGATTGATTACTCATAATGCATTTATGTGCCTAGAATGTGTACACATATCATAATTTAATGTTATTTCAATAACTCCCTAAGTAGAATTTCAAATAGTCCCCAGACTGCAGTATCCAAGCACTCTCATAAAGGGAATATGAGATTACCTATAAATTAATCAGCAAAAAGTTAAATAAAACCAGTTCTTAACATTAATTTTTCTATTACCACTGTAAGGAATGATCTCCCAAAGAATTAGGAAAACTGCAGATGACTCTGTGTGAATGTGAATAGTGTCTGTCTGCTCAAGAATCTGCTGGGATCCAGAATTTCTCAGGATGCCTATTCTGACCCTATTGTAGACTTTTTGCCTATAAAGCATAAATAAATATGCATGTATTTATAAATTACGTATCTACTATTTTATTAATAGTGCATACGCATTATCAACTCTATTCAAATAAAGAATTACAAAAAGAATAAAACTTAAAAATATAAATAAAATCTTGAATTTATTCTTGAACTCCCTGGATCGTGTATACACTACTTTGGTAACCACAGTTTTAGAAGACTTATGAAATTAGACAAAGGTGTACCTTGTATATATAGTATACCCATATAACAGTATGGGTAAAGTATGACACATAATTTGAATTAATGGCTACTGTCCCAGGGTGATAACTAATAACATCCTTTTTTATCTCAAACATTTCTTGGATTAAATGATAGCTTTTATGGGTACCCTAATTAAAAAAATACAAAGTATCTGGATCCTGAATTAAAATTTTTACCCTATGGAAGTATGAAAAACTTTCTTCTTCAGGCAGAATTAGGTAATCAGGTGTGTTTTGATAGGTACAGTGTTTGTAGGACAAAAAATTCCAATATCTCTAAAGATTCTTTAATCCTTCACCATAGGCCACTCTCTCTGTGATCTAGTAGACGTTACATTCTCAAATATTTGTTACCTGCATGACTCTGGGAAAAAATTTAGGTTTCAATACCTGCCTGAAGTTCCCAAAGCAAACTTACCTTTAAATTCTCAAAAGTATAGACACATAGTTCCTTATTATATTATTCTATAGACGAATTCTTAGAACTCTTTCCGATTTCCTAGAGCTAAAATTGTGGTTAATGATAGCAGCTGGCAATCACTATAAATCCCTACATTTTGAAAAAACTCATTATAGGAAATATGCCAAATATTTGCATGCCCCTTGGATATCCCAGATGCCATGGAACTTCTAAACCCAACAACACCAGGTCCCAGGTCCGGATTTGCTCAGCACAGTCCTGATTAACCTGTGAGTCCAGCATTACACTATATGGTCACTTTAAACAGAGGTGATTTGTTTAGCACAGAGCTGCAATGAATGGTTTGTGCTTCTCCAACACAGTAAATGGCAGGACAAAAAAAAAAAAAAAAAAATTCTCATTATTACCTTTCTGCACAGCTGATGGAAGTTCTTGAAGTTTCCAGGTTGACCAAGAGTCAATTTTCATGTTAATCAATTTCTTTCGTGATCTTTGTTCTTTTAAAGCTTCTTCAGCGTCTGCCCGGTCAGTTTCTAGACTTTTAATAAGATGAATGGCCTCTGACAGCAATGTTTCCATTTCCTGCTTTAACTCTGGACACTGTGCATCTTAAAGAGAAATATGTATTCACATTTGTTAATAAATCATCCTCCAGGCCGGTGAATAGGAACATGGGTCTTAGGTGTATTATCATTCTTTTAGGTATATTTAATAAGAAAATGTTAGAAAAATAAATTCACTTTTTAAAGACAGTTTCATTATAATACAATTGCAACACTGATCATAACTTTTGTTAAGACTTTTTTTTTTTTTTTTTGAGTCGGAGTCTCACTCTGTCACCCAGAC